TAAAGACCATCTAGTCCAAGCCCATGTCAYGGGCAGGGACAGCTTCCACTAGACCAGGCTRCTCCAACCTGGYCTTGAAATGAAATCTGTGGGGCTGTGCTCAGTGCCCTGCCCTGTGCCCCCATACCCCCGTGCCCTTCTCCCATCCCTGTTGGCAGCATTCCATGTTATTGTATCATTTACTCCTTCCAGCTGAAAGATGATGCTTGCAGCATGTTCTATGAATTTTTCATAAAGATAGAAAAACAGACTAATCTTGTGAGCTTTGAGTCTTGGTGGYGGGTAATGGCTTTGATTTAAAGCATTTTGTCTTAATGATAGTTATATTGAAAATTTCCTGCTGCTTTCAAGCACGTTTAGTTATTATCATAAACATTGATGGTGGAAATGCCTGCCAAATTGTGYGTGGCTGTTTATGGCAGATGAGAGAGTCATCCAGAAATTAGAGCGCTGGATCAACAAGTTGTGAAGAAACCTGTTTGTGCAGGAATCCACCCTGGGGGCAGTGGGACAAGGCAGGAACGAGGAGGGTCTTGGAGGAGAGGAGGGCTGGAGATGACCAGCTCTGGTTGTGGRATGTGCTTGACAGGAGATGAAAAATGAATTTCTGATAAGAATCATAGAATGATACAAACATTGAGGTTGGAAAAAAACTGTGAAATCAGTGAGTCTGACTTTACCTACACACTGCCAAGCTCCTCTGTTCCTGCAGAGCTGCTCAGCCCCTGCATGATTGCCCAAGGACAAGGAAAATCCTCCCTGTGCTCAAAGAGCAGCTCCAGTGAATCGTGGTGGTTTCTTTCCCCCACGAGGATTTCCTCACCTGTGCTCTGTGGCAGGGAAGGCAGACACACATTTCTCCACTCACATTCTACACCCTTCCTTACTGTCTGGGTTTTTTAGCTTTTGAAATAATATTGTTATGAGTCACCCACAATGGAGTTTAAATCTTTGGGTTTTGGTGCTGTAGGAGAGGGAATGGTGTCACCAAGGCTCCATTTGGGCTRTGTGCTGGGGACAGTGATCCCCATRCAGTGTCTGTCTTAATTCTTTGCCCAGATTGCCCCYGGTTTGTTTCCTTGGAAATCCAATRTATTTTAGTGGTGCCTGAGTGGTTTTTTTGTCACAGGTCTCATTTACAAGCGCATAAGGGCCTGACTGTCAGCCCAGTCCYGTGTGAGTTCCCCTTGTAGGAACAGTAATGTCAAAATCCTCACGTTTCTTCTCCTTTTCCCTCCCTCTTTCCCTTCATCATTCCTGAGTTTCTCTGGGTGGGATTCCAGCATCCAGCTGCTCGTGCTCTGCCCTGCCACGCTCTCCTCGTTAGCCTAACACCTCTCCTAAGACAAATATCAGYGGCAAGCCCGACTTAAAAATTTCTCAAGAGTTCATGGAGGGAGAGTTTCTCTGCCAGCACTGACCTTTCTCTCTGAGCACAGATTCCTGTGTGAGAAGGGTGTGTATGAGCACAGCAGTTTGCAGGAGGAGGTTCTGGGTGTTCATCCCCACATCAGGGGTGTTCATCCTCTGCCCTGCTCTGCCTGTGCTGCTCCGGGTTCCAGCTCCTGCCTCTTTGACATGAACCACTTGGCTGAGTGTTAGGAGCACCTCACATGTATTTTAAACCAGAGAAGGGCACTCTGCTGGAGGATGGCGTGGTAACAAAACGTCCTCACTGCCTGCAGAGTCCAGCTCTCGCTGTGCCAGCCCTGCCCAGCAGCTCCCAGCTCCACCAGCGCCAACATTTGGCATTAAAAACCCCTCTTCAGGGGCTGCTTTGTGAGCCCATATTTTTTACAGCATCCTGTGTCCCATTTTGCTTTCCCTCACTGCTTTTCAGTGCTCCCCAAGCCACTGTGACACAGAGCAGAGCAATCCTGAGCCTCCCCAAAGCCAAGTCTCTGGCCTGCAGACAAACGTTCACCTGCTGATCAAAACTCACAGGCTCAGAGTCTTTTCTGTAAGAAAAATCACAGCAAATTCAAAGTGAAGGAAGTGAACCTGCCCTGTTCCCATCACCACCAGAGCTCTTGACTGCTGGTCCTTGATCTCCATGGGCACAGGATGGAGCTCCTGTAGTCCAGAGGATGGAGGATCCCTGGGGCTGCAGTTAAAGGTGGTTGGCTGTGACTTACAGGCAATTCCTGCCACCTCCAACATCATGAATTTTGTCAGAACAACACACATTTCCAAAAAGTACTAACTTTCCTTACTGATGGACTAGTCTAGAGGATTGCAGGCATTTTTACTTCTTCCTTTTAGTCTCAGGRTATTCCAGATTTGTGTAAAACACTTATTTCCAGGTAGTTTTTGCCAGAACACATGAGGATTTTCATGCTGGGGAAGTTGTTCAGGGTCCCGTTGCTGTTGTGATGGTGAAGGTGCCTCTGGCTCCAGGTGAGSTCACCTGAGCTCCTGGAAGAAGACAAATACTTAACAACTAACCATGGCTGAGGAAATCATTAAACACGGCTTTCTGAGGCTGCTGAGCCTCCTGCTAATTATGGGAGCTTTCTGTTTCAATTACTGGGTCTGGAGCAAAGTGTTGGCTCTGGAAAAGCTTCCAGCTTTTTTCTGTGGAGGTTTTCAGACACCACATGGAGCGGTGCCAGGGCATCCCAGCCTCCACACAGCATTTCCCAGGCAGTGAAGCAGCCTTTGGGCTGCCCCTTTTCCCTCCTGTGAGCAGTGTGGAGTGTTGAACCCATGATCAGTAGATGAAAAATTATCTTTTCATTGCCTGCCTCGATAACCCATTGCCAGCTCTTCTGCCAGTGTGAAAGCCATATTTGCAGTTTTAAGGGATTAAAATAAGAGTGGTGTGGGTTTGGGGGGACAGAGCATCTCTGGCTCCCCATTTTGCTGTTCTGGGGTTCCTGGCACTGCTGTGGGGTTTGCAGGAGTGTTTCACTGACAGGATGCCCCGGCCGTGCTGTGTCCCGCTGCCGCTGTCGCTCGGAGCAGCCAGCTGAGTTTTCTGTGTGACTTGGCAGGAAAATTCACATCCATTTTATTGAACCAAAGGGAAGAAAAGGGGGGAAAGTGCTGGCTTCGAGTAATAAAGGGCTTTGGAACATCTCAGCTGGATATTTTTCTTCACGAGTGAGAAGGCCAAATGTTATCTTGACATTTAATCTTTAATAATAAAAAAAGGCTCTTTGTTTGCCAGCAAAGTCCAAAATCTGTTTACTCTCTCACGCCTTATTTCTTTTAACTTGCTAGCTTAGATGTCCTACTTACCCTCCCCTGCTACCGGTTCAGGGCTGTGGTGAATCATTTATTGTCTAAAGTTGAACTTCCCTGTCACCACAGAGCCACCAGCTGCTGGGTGTGCAGTTCCTGACCAGTTCATCCATTTTTTTGGGAGCCTTTGGGCAGGGCAGGCAGGGCAAGGGCTGGGTCAGGACAGGTCCAGGCTGTGCCCACCATGGCACTTTGGTGCTGCCAGAGCGCTGTGGTCAGTCTGTGTGGCTCTGACCCGTGGGGACGGGTCACTTTGGGCCATTCCAGTGTTGGATGAAGATGGTGGAGGGTGAAAACAGAGGGGAAGGTGCAGCCAGAGAAGGCTGAGGCGGGACAGGTCCAGGCTGTGCCCACCATGGCACTTTGGTGCTGCCAGAGCGCTGTGGTCAGTCTGTGTGGCTCTGACCCGTGGGGAGGGATCACTTTGGGCCACCAGACTCTGTAACCCACTCCAGTGTTGGATGAAGATGGTGGAGGGTGAAAACAGAGGGGAAGGTGCAGCCAGAGAAGGCTGAGGTGGCTTTGGGGCAGCATGGGAGGCTGGAGATGGAGGTGCCAGGGCAGTGCCCGCTCTGGGCTGGGRCTGGRCTGGGGCTGGGGTGGGCAGTGGCATTTTTGGCCCCGTGTCCAAGGGTGGTGTCCTGGCACCTGCAGGCGTGGGCCGAGCAGGCTCCCCGTGCCCCCAGGGGTCTCCAGGTACCACCCAGCTGTAGCTCCAGCTTCCCRCTGCCATCTCCATCCTGCTCCTCCCAGTCCGCTGACTTTCCTTTCGCATTGAAACCTCTTCCTCATAAATCCTACATCCRAGAGCAGCCGTGAGAAATGCCAGAAGCCTGATCATCTAACATGCTTTGATATCTAAATTTCTTCTTTAGTGTCATTCTTATTTACATTGTTTTTCTTTCTCAAAAAAAAAAAAAATTAAGGGAGGAAAAAAATTAAATTTTCTTTTACTTCCACGTTAGGAGGTGAGTTGTCATCCACCCTCTGGAATTCTTTTTTGCTTTTGATCTTTATTTATTTGTTTAATTTTGGTTGATGTCCCAAGCATGGTTTTGGAGACGAAGGTAGGTCTTCGCTCTCCAAATCAAAAGGCAAAAAAAACCTAAATAAAACAACACTTTCCTTGGTCATATTTAAAAGAGAAAAATCCAAACTGTTCCATTCCATATCATTTAAAGGAAAAAAAAAATCAACTATTGAACTATTTCTACAGCTTACTGATCTAAAAGGGCGGGTTTTTTCCAAAAGTATTGAATGGATCCAAAAAAACGATTTACCTAGACGTGATTCAAGTTATTTGCTGTCAACATTTTAATATCAATATTACCACAATGTGTAGTCTCAAATTAGTTCCTTTGTAGTTTGCATGGGATGTGAATGCTGTCTCGGCGTGCCCAGACCTAGAGAACTTGTTACTACTGCATGAGCATCAAGTCAGATGTTGAAAAATACCTATTACATTTTGTGATAATTTGGTGAAAATGAGCACCTCCAGTCTCTGGTTGCAGTAGTGTGTTGAATGATCGTTCTTTTTTTTATTTTTTTTTTTATATATATCCATATATATATTTTTGGAGCTCTTAAGCTTCGTAGTAGTCCGGGCTGACTCTTCTCCAGTACTTGCTCTCCTCTCGCATGGCCTTGGTTAAGTGTTAGAATTGGGCCTAGGCTGTTTATTCTGGTGTTTGGCTTATGTAATTCCGGTGCATGCCCGGCGTCTGGCCTCATACCCAGCTTTATTCTCTGCACACCAGTCTTGAATAGCTACAGTGCTCAACCGAATTTTGGCGCACCCGCTTCCCCGGCAGGCTCCAACCCAGCGCGGCCGGGCGGCTTCCCCGGCGCCAACAGCCCCGGGCCCGTGGCGGATCTCTACGGCACGGCCAGCCAGGACTCCGGCGTGGGGAACTACATAAGCGCCGCCAGCCCTCAGCCGGGCTCGGGTTTCGGACACGGCATCGCCGTAAGTACCGGCGCGGGGATGGGATTTGGGATGAGGGGAGGGGGTTCTGTGGGGTTTGAGGGGTGGGGACCTCACAGCCATCTCCGCCTCACGCTGCCCTCACCTGTGAGCGGGGTCTGACCCACACTGCGGTCACTGAGGTGGTAATTGTAAACTCATTCTAGTGAGAAAAGGCTTTCAAGCTCATCCTGGTTCCTTTGAACCAAACCCTACCACAAGTTTCCACATTCTCAGGGCTGGTTGAGACTCCATGGCTGCCCTGAGCAACCCTTTCCAAAGATTAATCGCTCTCTCGGTGAAGAAATTTCTTCCTGATATCCAACCTGAACTTGCCTTGGTGCGAAGGTTTGTCTGGAGACTTCTGCAGCCAGATCTCAAAGGGGAATAAATATTAATCCCATATTTAATAAATATTTATCCTATATTTAGTAAGTATTTATCCCATATTTAATAAATATCCCATATTTAATAAATATTGATCCCGTATTTAATAAATATCCCATATTTAATAAATATGGGATTTAAATCCCTGCTTGTCTGTATCAGCCCATCTACCCCTCCTGGCTGCTGCACCCTTTGGCAGACACAGCTAAACGAGCAAAATCAGCTGATGAATTTGGCTGGTGGCACCCCAGCAAGGGGACAGCCGTGTCCTGCTGCTCTTGTCCCGTTTGCTGACCCTTGGGGTCACTTTGCAGCCAGTCCTGGGGTCACTTTGCAGTCCCTGAGAGCCGCAGGTGCCGCGTGAGGCCGGGCTGGGCTGTGGGGTCAGCGGGAGGAGCCTCTAACGCCGYGCTGGGTCTGCGATCGCACTAATGAGGGATAAAGATTGGCTTAACAAAGCTGCACGTGGCTGTGTCACCTGTGTGTGAGCATGAATGGGGCTGGCCCTGCCCCACTGTCACCCCAGCACTCACTGCACAGGCTCCTGTCCTTTTTGGGGTRCAGCCAGGAGCTGGGTTTGTCCTCGTGGACGGTGAGGAAACGCAGAGACTCCCCTGAAGGTCCCTCAAACTGAGAGAACTTCGCTCCCTGATGGAATTGGATGGGGGGAGCAGGAGTGTAGTGCAGACAAAGTTCCTGAAACTGTTATTATTTTTCTGGCAGCTGGTACCTAAAAAGTCAAACAAACCCTCTGCCTCACTTAGAGCCCGTGTGCTCTGTTCCCATCCCTGGGCTGCCCCTCCCGTTGTCACACCATGGATTTGACAATCCCTGTGGATCAATTCTAGCACCAAACTTGGAATATTGCTGCTCTGCAAGGAGCTGCATCAGTTCAAGCTGCCACCTCTCACCACTTACAACACCTCTTATTTCCATTTTTCACCTAAAGAAAAGGACCCTGTTTGTGCTTGAAAACCTGGGCACTTTGGCCTCAGCAAATCCTGATTTTTCACGTATAAAACACCAGGTCCAAGCCTGGCTATYCAGATTTGTCTGCACTAACACTTCCCAAAGAACCATTTTATAATTGACTTGCAGATTGGCAGCCTCTTAATTCCCCCAATAACTGCAAAGAATCCCATAGCTTTTTTTTACATATATATTTATTTAACACTCTCCATTTACTAACCCTGGTTTAAAAACAAAGRAGGGAAAACCCCAAAGCTTATTTTTTGCACCTGGGGGAATGAAAAGATGATGGTCTTGGAAAGGTGACCATAAGGTCGAGCACATCTGATGACCAGAACAGCTCTCAGAAATCCCTATTCATGCTGGCAACACAGTCTTTCAAGTCCTTTGATAATTTCTTGGCAAAATTAATAATCAGCTGTTCCCATGTATAGAGCACTGATGAACTTAACAATTGTACAATTTTAGGGACCTTTGATTGCAACGGCTTTTACAAATGGATACCATTGAAACGTTACACATGGTTGGTTGCCATCTCACTTGGAGGTATTACAGTATATCCCATTTGTACTTTGTGCTGAACTACCATCTCCCCTATATTTACTTTAAGTGAACAATTTTTTTATCTTCATTTCGTCTTTCCTTGGCCTTTAATCATTCCTTTCTGTGATTTGTGTTACTCAAATCGACCTCGCGGGTTGGAAACTGGAAGACCGATCCAAAGCTAAAATCCCAAAAGTCACTTTTTCATCTCCAGAATTTGAAGAGGCAGAAAACCCAGAAAGCTGTGGGGAATCACCCCCAGTGCCAGCAGCCAAAATCCCWTTGGGATCAGAGATCTGCTCCCAATGCACTGGTTTAAAAATAGCTGAGCCCCACTGCTTTATTACTGAGAAACCATCATTCTTAATTAAGTGCTGTACCAAATATTACAGCTAAAAGATAACATTGTAACTTGTAACCATAGAGTAATTATCAAGATTAAAAAAAAATTAAACCTGAGCAAATTAAATTAAAGACATTACCTGAGCGCCGCAGCCCTGGATYGCTGCCAGTTTCCTACCCTTTGAACTAAGCTCGAGTTAATTAAATGTTTAATTTTTATTTTTTATTATTATTTGGCCTTTGGCATATTCATCTTTGCAAACAAATATTCTTAACACTCAGAACGGAATAGATTAGAAAATGCAATGAAAAACAGAAGTTATCCCAGTTAAATGGCATGGGTTTACCTCCAGAGCCCCGAGCCCGGACAGGCAGATGGAATGGATAYGACAGATTTTATTTCCCTACCTTTTGCCCAGCACTACATGATCGATGTCACATCATTTACSTTCAAAAATCAGTCTATGAAATTAGAATTAAAGTTATAAAGGGGCCGGGAACTGTGGGAAACATTTGGAGGCTTTAAACTACATAAAAATAGATTTATACCTAAACACAAGTGRATAAAGGAGTTCGCTATTCACTCTCCAGTTCCACACACACCCCCAAGATTACCTGAAATTGTTCTGTCAATTGATTWGCTCCACCAAGGAGTGTTTTTTATGGGAAAGAAGAAGGTGCCATAAGCACTGTTGCTTAATCCCAGCCATTCCTCGCACTCGGTGTTCTGTTGGCCGATCAATTTGTCAGAATCCTGCCCGTTTCCTGGGCYGTCAGCCCCTGGAATAGTGAGGTGGTACCCGAGGCCAGCTGGAGCCCGAGCAGAACATCATAACTCAGGCTAATAACGTGTGCTGATGGCAGCCCCGAGATGGATGGGCTGTAATCACTCCACACTTAGCACAGCCCATCGCCGGCCAGCGCCGAGACTCAAACCATTAACGACTTCAAAACAAAGTGCTTTTAATGTTGCTCATTACTAATTAAAATAGATTTGGAGAGGAGGAAATGAGCCTTATTATGAATTCCTCAAGGAACAGTGAGTTTAGGATTCTTGCGGCAGCGGCATCCCCAAGGCAGGATTGGGCTGAGCTGGGATTCCCAGGCTGGGGTCAGCTCTCTCACCCTGAGCACGGCTTTTGGGGCTGGGTTTTGAAGGTCATCCCAAAACTGTGACCAGGGAGATCCTTGCCCAGCCAGCCCTGTGAGTGGCTGCCTGCAGAAGCAGCGCCCTAAATATTTACACCTCTTTTATACATTATATATCTCAGCTGTAAGCACCAGCAGGGATGGAGTGTTGGAGGCTGAAGCCCCGTTRCAAAATAAATCCTGGCTGCTGCAGTGTGCCTGGGTAGAACTTGTCACCTTCCAGGTACTTCARAGCAAACTCATTTTACCAAAGCCGTGTAAATTCCTGGCGTAATGGATGCCTGAGGAACAGTTTTTGTCCTGGCCATATATCAAGTCACATTTTGCTGTTCCTAAATCAGCCCAGCCCTCAGCTAAACCCAGCCTACTCCCAGTCCAGGCTTAGCTGGGATGGAGCTGGAAATAAGAGCAGAGAATACATGAGGGGCTGTCCTGGGAACAGCTCAGCACCCTCAGGGTAGGTCAGAGCAGGCCATGGCCACAAAGTGTTTGCAAACACTTTGGGGTTTTTGGGTTAAAAATCCTAACGACCTCAATTAACTGTCCCTCCCCCGTGTCCGTGTCCRCCTTCTCCCCACGCAGAGTCTCTCTGGATGTCCGGGCAAGACGGGGCGAAGTTTCTGAAGGGGCCCACGGTTTTGGGTGATCTCATCAGACTTTGAGCACTACATCATCATCATCATCTTCATCATCATCACCGCCAACGCAAACTGGAGGTGGCACTCGAAGGACTTGGGTTGTTTAAAATCTCTCTCATCATCTCATGAATCTGCTGTACTATAAAAACAACAGCTTTTAAAAGTATGTATATAAAACCCATTTCTTGTTCGTTTTATTTTCTCGATGGGTTTCCCTCCCCTCCTTTTCGAACCCCTCCGAACCCACATTTTTTCGTAGCGTTTTTTGACATAGTCTCGTAGCCACGTAGTCGGAATTCTTTGTGTATGTAGCGAGAGCCTAACCATAGTGTAACTGTTATATTAAGGGGTTTCTTTTGCTTTTCTTTCCCACCTCCCCTCCTCCTCCTCCTCCTCCTCCTCCCTTCTGTTTTACGTAGTTGTTGTTGCTTAAAGGATGCTGAGATGGTGACAGGAGCCTCGGCCGCCGGTCCCAGCTCGGTGGCGGGGGAGCGGAGCCGGCGGCGGGCACGGGGGGCTGGCAGGGCACGGGGAGGGGGGAGCAACAGGTTCTCTGGCCCTTCTTTTCCTTTGTGGCGTCTTGGTTACTCTAATTCTCTCTATTTTCGGCAATAAGGCGAGGGCGACAAACTTTTTGCGCGTCCTTTTTCTATAKAAGTGCTTTTTTTTGTTGAAAGAGGTGATATAAGGTTTTTTGAAATTGTGAATTCTGAAAAAAAAAAAAAGAAAAAAATAATAAAGTGCTGTAAATATAATTCCATTAACTACATAGAAACTATTAAGAAAGAGAAATACAAACCTATTTTTGTGATGGAGTCAGCCTAAGGCAGTTTCTCTATGGAAATGGATGAGAAAAGACAAGGAAGTTGTAGCCTTTCAGAGTGACTGCTGGAGCTGGTCCAGGGGGGGTTGTGATGCTGTGGGACCCTCCCAGTTTGCCCAGTTCATACCAGCAGCTTCGCTCAGACGTGCACAGCTTACAAAGGAACAGTCTAGTGGTATTTTTATTTTAATTTAAAAGCCTGCTTTTCCCAAAACTGATCAAGAAGCTACGATTTTTCCTACTTAACGCATTTACGGTTCAAAGCACACATTTATTTTTATTTTTTTGTTTTGGTTTATTTTTTTTKGKTTTTTTGGTTTTKTTTTAGTCATTATTTTAAACTAGATCAACTTGCTGTCCAGTCATTTCAGCTGCTCTGGGCACCCCGTGCAGCCCGGGGTCCTCCCCGCTGTGGGCAGAGCAGCGTCCAGCTTGCATGGTTTCCTTTATTATCCATCACTTTCTGTATTAACACATTAGAAAGCAACTTTGGTTGGTTTTGAGTTCTTTTTTTTTTTTTTTTTTTTTTTGGGAATACCTCAGTGCTACAAGTTTCACCCTAGAAGCAACGGAAGATTTTAATTTATTGTAGTTGTAAACAGAATTTAAAAGAAATAAAGTATAAAACATCATTGCACTGTGACTGGTAGGGGAAAAACTGACAGTTTCCTATTTGCACATGTTTAATATTTGGCTGTTATATATATGGTCCTCTGTTGGGGGAGGAAACTTATGAAGGATATTTTTTAATTTAATTTTTTTAATATTGGTAAATAGGCCTGCAACAGCAAACTAGAAGTACAACATGGTAGGTGGCATTAAGAACATACTGTAGTGTGGATATATTTCTTCTTTTTTTAACGTAATATTGACAAGTTTTATTAATATTTTTTTAAATTGTTACGTTTATAAATTTGGTACTTTAGGTACAGCCAGTATAAGACACTGAATGCGACATTTGTTAAAAAGAGCTGCTGCACTCCTATTTTTGTAAATTTTACTAACAAGTAGACTAATGTAGACATTCAATAGACAAGGTAGAGCAAGGCATCTTTAACAAAACAAGGCACCATACTGCTAACCGAAAGGAGAAAACCTTGTTTTTCTTGTTTTTTAAAAAAAATCATGCTTTTTATGTAATATTTTAGGTTTTTTTCTTATTTCAGAACAACCAGGTTTAAGCAAAATGCTGGACGCTTTTTAAATATTGAGACTTGATCAAGTAATAAAAGAAATAAAACTGAATTCTTTAAAAAATAAAAAGGTAAAAAAAAAAAAAAGACGATGAACCAAATTCCCTGCGATTCAATGTGCCGTCAGGGAATTTTTTATTGCTATTTTGTCAATGTTGATGATGTACTGTACTACCAGTTGGTTTTCCTCTCCATTCCCTGTCACCTCATAGAATATTCTTTGTTGATCATTGTTGTATGTTAATAGTGTATAAAATGGCTTATCTTGTAAGAGTGCTGTCCTGATGGTAGTGTAGTGAATTTTTCCCCCCCTCTTCCTCTCTTCCTCTTCTAGTACATATTGGTAGGTGTATCGTAATTAAGGTTAAAAATTTAGATGTAGTTATTCAGATTTAGGACCAGTAAGGATAGAACTTTCTCTTATTTAAGAAACAAAAAAAAAATGCTAATAATTTTGGGAAGGTTTTCCTGTTTTGTTTTGTTTTTTTCCTCTTCTCTTTTCTTTCTGTGCTTTTTTTTTCTCTTGTTTATTATTTTTCTTTTGCTGATCTGATGCGGTTTCAACTAACCAAAGGTCTCACAATGTTAAAAATGCTGGCAAACTCTTAAGGCATTTGTAGATCCCCACCCTTGACTTTGGAAAGGGGATGTGCCATACTACCTTAAATGCTAATGCTAGATATGCAAAACTGGATTTTTTTAATTTATTTTTTAAAAGAGGGAGGCACGGTATATTAAAACGATTTTACTAAGAGAAAAAAAAAACATATTTTTTTAAGAATGCTCAGAAGAAATTGCTAATCTGTGTGAATATGTTTTAGATGTTTATATACCTTTTGAGAAGTCCCAGTGGCCCATAGCACAAATGTCGTGGAATCCAAGATGTTTTGATGTGGCTACCTAGACTAAGGTTCACGTTAGTCCCCCACTCATCTAGAAATCCATTTTGAAGGATTTTTATTTTCATTTTCTTCGTTCATTTGGGGGTTTTTTGTAAATTTTTTAGAACACAAAGGTTCAGCTCCACCTTTGTTTTACTCAAGCCCAGCGAGCGAAGGACGGTGGAGTCACRGACTGGTTTGGGTTGGAAGGGACCCTAAAGYCCATCTGGTCCCACCCCTCCTGGGGTCACCTCCCACTGTCCTGGGGTGCTCCAAGCCCTGTCCAGCCARGGACAGAGGGTCCAYRGCCATCCCTCACCCCGAGGGACGGTGCCCTTTGCTTTCCAGATCTCCCACATGGGCCCTCTACCCCCGGGGTGACCAAAACGAGGGATTTCCACCACGCTGGGTGACCTGGGCACCCAAAGCACACCAGAGACCTTTCCACGGAGCCWCCAGAGCTCGGGGACCCTCCCCCTTCCAAAATAACCCAAGTCCTTTGGGATCGGCTTGATTAAAGCGAAGCCTGATCTGYCCTTTGGGGTTTTTATTTTTTCTTACACTTCATAAATGTTCATTTTGAGTTGAATTTGTAGCTTGGACTTTAAGGTAGCATGGCTCTCTTTGCTGTAAGTTGATTTTTTTTCCATTGTACAGCAGCGTCTGCTGGTGAATGTCACACATCTTGCTAGGCTTAGTTAAACCATTGGGTAATTGTGGGTGATAACGACCTGAAAGGTGTTGGGATTTCTTTTCTTCCCTGCTCGGCAGCCCAGGATGCTGCTTTCATCCGTAGTGTGAATGAGGGCTAGCGACTCCAGCCACACGTCCCTTCCTGTTTCGTTTCTGCCATTCACTCAATGCAACATAATCAATAATAAAGCAATATAGTTTACTACATTTTTACTGAAGGCCAGCCATGGTTCTGTATGATATTGCATATGAAACTGTTTACAAAAACAAAAAAAAAAAAACCAACACTAACTCATAGCTGTCTTTTATGCTATGGCGATGTCTCTTGGGTGGAATCTTCTGAATTCTTTTTTTTAGTGGTTTGGTTTGTTTTTTTAAAGCGAAACGGTTTAAGAGAGAGAGAGGGAGAACTGAGGTTAGTGTTAGGGCGAAGAGACAGGATGCATCGAAGACACACCGGCAGATCCCGGTCTGCGCACAGACACTGTAGAGTTTCCTACGTACAGAATCCAGTCGACCCCGCCGCCGCGCGAACACTACGTGAGGAGATTCTGTAAGCTAAGCAATACTTTAATACTGTAATAAAATTACCAAAAAAAAAAAAATAATAATAATGGTAATAATAATAATAATAAAAGATAAAAAAAAAAATAAGTAGTTTGAGAAAGCCAATCGTCGTGGTCGGTCGTGGGCCCCCCAGCAGTCCGTGTTGTGTGGAGAGCTCGGTGTCCGAGCAGGGCGGGCCCGTCCCGTCTGTCGCGTGACCGTCGTAGGTAGCACCCCCCGTCATTCTCTGTCGTACGAGGTCTGAACTCCCATCAGTACTAGGATGCAAGTGAGCATTTCAGGTGGTCATAAATGTACCTAAATAAACTATGGCACAGTGGCAGGCCTAGCCCTTCCTTTTATACTTTAGTATGAACTGATGAGAACTTTGGTAGTGACTTTTTTTTTATATATATACATATATATATGTATCTATATATATCAAGCATCTTTCAGGTCTCTGTGTATGGCTTTCTGAAGCCCTGTTGTAAAATACTATGTGGATGGGGGTCTCTCACATCACAGATGTGGAAAGTATAATTTTATATTTGTATTTTCAAATAAATAAGTTTGTGAAAGGTTTCCATCCTCTACTGTGGTCCAGAAATCAATGTGTTTGTCTGACAAAAAAATACAATAAACTGTTTTGAACAGATCCATGGAGTCCCTTTCATTGGGAGGGGGGGAGGAATTTATTCCTGGGAGGTAAGATTAGACCCATCACCCCAAAACCCATCAGGTTTTGTGCCCCACCAGGCAGTTTTTATCCTATTTCTGCGATAGGCAGTGGGTGGCTGTGTGTTCCCAATCCCTTTGGATAAATTCCCGGTCCGCCACGTCCTTGCTGTGTGTTTCCTCATAGCAGTGACACACTCAGTGTGGCTCCACACCCTCTCTGAGCTCAGATGTTCCACCAGAGGCTGTTCCCCTTCTGGCACTCGGCCTGGAGTGGAGCCAGCTCCCCCCAAATCCTTCCCTTGGGTCTGAAATATGTTATTCCAGCTGGGATGGTGTTATTCCCAGATTCCTTCCCTGGGAGATGGGGCTGTGGGGTGGGCAGGGATGGAGGGGATGCTCCAGCCCCAGCAGCATCAACAACCCTTCCCCTTGCAGCTCCTTCCTTCCACAGCCATCCATCCATCCATCCATCCATCCATCCATCCATCCATCC